TTATCAGGTATATTATTATACCAATGGTGTAGCTCTGCAGGCTAGGTCTTTAAAATTGGAAACGTAGTCATACCTATATTGAACAATTTTAAGTCGGTTTTTCCAAGCTTGAAGCATTTAACCTTCAAACACTGTAGTCCTACAGTGTCAATTGACTTATTAAACATTAATTTGTTTCTCAACTCTTTTAGGCTCAACATATCAGAGTGGCTCATTACTATAGGTTCATACGGCGTCTTTGCTGTTTTTTTTCTTTTTTAGCTTTCTGTTCGATCTAGCCAATCTTAAAACATTACAGAGGTCTATCATAGAAAAAATTGGTATAAGACACATTTGATTCTCGATAGAACTATGCATATTATCGACCTCCATATTATGTGTGTGGCCCAATTCTAAATACTTACGTTCAACCACCTCAAGGTGGGGTAACTTGAACTAAGTATAGCATTAAGAATAACAGAAACTGATTACGTTCTTGCATCAGCTCGCTGAGTTTCTCGCCGGGTCTTTTCAGTGGGTTGCGATTCCGATCCGGTAGTAGATTCATTCACGAAGCAGCTGTTCTTGAGTTGTTAGGTCTTCTTCGGAGGCGCACGGACAGCTGTTAGCAAATCCCACCCCTCTTGGCTGAACCTTTGCTAGCCCACGTCCTGGTGAATCTGGAAAGGCCTCCGGGCCACCAGTAATCCTTCAATCCTAAAAAAATATAAAAAAGCCTGTCTGGTGTTACAGTGATTACTGCAGCTCATAGAGATCCAACGTGAAAGCCACCACCCATCTTGAGACCCGAAATCTAAATCTAAATTGTTCCGTATGCTGCTTCGCTTCGATGGTGGTACCAACTCGTACGGGCTTGCCATACGCCATACCAACCATCCTATCAGTAAATACAAGTTGGCAATCGTAGTCCACTGGTATGATTCTCAGATAACGATGTTGCCCGTTCTCCAGTGTATCATTTAACATCTACACCCGTGGAAAGAATGATGCTATTGTAGGTCAGGTGTTTGCTTGCTAGGTTGTGCGAAGGTTGTTCAGAACTTCAATTGCTCCAACATCTTGCTTCCTCGTCCTTGTTTGAAACATTTATTTCGTTGCATTTTGTCAGATATCATTAACTTCTATAACAGGCGTGGTAATCAATGTATCTCGCCGCAAACTGAGCGAGCGAGGCAGTACTCTTTCGTCCCGCGCAAACCCACCCTCACCCGCGTTCGTCGGTTTCGTCTTATGCCCCGTGTTTCCTAGACAAGCTGTTTTGTCGCATTTCACCAAACCCTATATAACTCACTAAACTACAACCGAGGAACCACGTAGCCTGCAAGAAGTTACTATGTTCTTTTAATCGATGTTAATTTATTAAAATCATGCCGTCAACAAAATGGAAAAAATAAGGAAAAAGAATAAATGATTTTATGGAAATCTTAATATTATGATTTATATTATATTAATATCGATAAAAATCATTAAGATTACTTATTGTGCATTTGTGATGAAATGATTCATTACAGAAACTAACTAAATGTAAATAATGAATTTTATCGAAATGCAATTTTAAGCTATATTATACTACACTGTTTTGATTAAATTAATTAGATGCTGAAAATGAGTTCTGTAATGTAATGTATGCTGTTTTCAAATAATTATCCATTTAATAAAAATAACTAGTGCTGCTTAGTGAATCTTTGTAAATGCCTGACTTCCAAAGTTGCAATTATCAATTTTCTACCAAAGACGTAACGGCTAAAATTGACCAGCTAGAAATTTGTGTGTTTTTGCATTTTGTAGAATATGCAAAAATGAGCCCAATATAGATAAAAACGCATTTAGTGATTTTTTGCAGTTAATGAGTTCTTGCAATAAGCCGACGATATTATTATAGTTAATATTCTCGGTTATAGGCTATACAAATTTGAGTTAACTTTTACGTTATCGAGAACGTTAAAAAACTCGCACTAAGCACACAGAAGGATCTTCAGTCTGCGATCGATAGCTTTTTCTAAGTCGGGTCGATTATCAATTCGATAATCAATTAAACTTATTAAAAAGTATTCTAATCGCAAGCAAGCCGTGTTGCGAGAGGATTATCAATTTAAATTAATACGTGAAGCAAAAACTTTGTATCCCTTTTTACGAAAATTGCGCGGACATGACATTTTCCACACTTATAGAGAATATAGAGAAGAAGTGCACAATGCTAATATTTTTTTTAAATAATGCATAAAAGATACATTAAATCAATTAAGAAAACATTACACACACTACATACCATTTATTTGATGCACACACGCATGCATACTATTTATTGTCAAACTTTTGTTCTTGACGTCTGTTGTCAAATTGAGATTAAATATTGTTTGTCTTTGTTAATATTTTTTATAGTGTAGTCTTGGCGAAATTTGTGATTATAGAAGTATAAAATTATACAATCATAATAGTGTACAAACTTACAATTCCAATTAATTATAGTCGAATTTCGGGACCTCTTGTCAATTTAAATGTTCTTAAGGCTATGTAGAATGGCAGTGAGAAATAGCCACATTTCTAATGCGATTGTGATTCGACCTCATGTTACAACGTAGGCGTAGTTATTCTGGTTATATTCTCTGGACTGTTGTAACGACTTAACGTCAGGTGGGCGGTGAGTTCGTTCGCCTATTTACGATCTTTTTTTTCTTTTCTTCTAAAATGCACACTTGAATATTAACATTGTGGAGATCAATGTTAATCCGAATGAACTAAAGCCTTATTCACAATAACGAAAAAAATGTAGTTAAAGAAAAGAAATATAAATTAATTAATAAAATAGTTTATTTAGTAGTACATATATTTCATAAGTAAGAATTGTTCCTGATCATTCCTCTTCATACAGTAAGAAGTAAGGAAAAATCTAAAAGAAAGAATACTGGATGTCTTGTTCTGACTGTATTAAAAGAATACGCTGTTCAATTACTACGAGGTGTATATTTTATTGTCACCCATCGGAACAGAGATCGATATATTTGGAGAGATATACGACGAAAGGAAGATCTTCCACCGAGCGGGTGATATTGCTCGGTAGACCGACGGTCCGAATGTTGTTGTTCGGAACTTGTATATATGCGAACTTATCTTGAAAATGTCGTAAGCGAGATTCAGGCATCTGTCAAATATCTTGCGTTGTATGATGGCTACCCGCCACATCACTCCCCTCCGAGACCGGAGGTCGTGTCATTTAGTTAGCGTTATCCATGCTGCGATTAGCTTGCAAGTGCCAGTGCTGCTCGAAGTTTGCAGTGGGTCGAAACTGAGCTTGAATGCTGCGCGTGTATCGTCAGTAATCCATGTGATGGAGAGCTGCCACGCCGGAGATGTGTGTCCCCAAGCGTTGATGATCCGGTCGTGGGCTGCGATGGACTGTAGTGACGTGATGAGGCAGTGAACGTGCGTGCCGTAGGACCAGGAAGCGCGGTGAGTCGGCTGCGATGGTCCTGTTGAGGCTGCGATGCTGGCTTGTTGTGGGACGACTGTGGATGACTTGCTTTTAACTGCGAGAATGCGGGAATTATGGTAGCCGAAGTTCTTGATGCGCTGATGATGAAGTGTGAAGGCTGCACTTGTTCCGTCGCAGGTCACCAGTTTGGGGGTACTTATACGATGGAGGGAATACCTTCCACCGAGCGGGTGATATTTGCTCGGTAGACAGACGTTCCGAATGTTGTTGTTTGGAACTTGTATATATGCGAACTTATCTTGAAAATGTCGTAAGCGAGATTCAGGCATCTGTCAAATATCTTGCGTTGTATGATGGCTACCCGCCATTATGGCTAAAAAAACATTGTCCATTCGGTCTGCTAGTTGAAACAAGTCTGGTGCTTACTCGAAAAACGGAAACGTTTCACGCTATTTATTCTTGAAGTCATCGCGGCCTAAAGGATAAGACCCCTGATGTAAGCATATCAAGCGATGCGACCGGGCATCCACCACTGGGTCGCGATTCCGATCCGATGGTAGATTCTGCGAAGCGCTGCTCATGATAGGGCTAGTGTTAGCAAATTCTTTCAAGTTGACCCTTTAAGCTTACTTGCTCGTCCAGACGTAATTGGATTAGCTCCTTAAGCTACTAGCTAATAGACAAGGAAAAGAAAAAGAAAAGTCGCTGGCTCATTTCCGAGCATTATGATAAACCCGATTAAGTCTTTATTAAAAGAAGATGAAGGTCCAAATCCATCCGGATACCTGAGACTGAAGAGATGCCGCGCTTTGTTGAAGCGGTACGCGGGAAAAAAATCGGGAAATTCTTTTTTCGGATAAAAAAATTTTTACCGTAGAAGAGAGCTACAACAAACAAAATGATAGGGTGTACGCACACAGTAGTGAAGAAGCGAGCAACCGTATTCCGCGTGTCCAACGAGGTCATTTTCCATCCTCGCTAATGGTATGGTTGGGAGTTTCTTATTGGGGCTTAACAGAGGTACATTTTTGTGAGAAAGGTGTAAAAACGAATGCAGTTGTGTATCAAAATACAGTCCTGACGAACCTTGTGGAACCAGTTTCTCATACCATGTTCAATAACAGGCACTGGGTATTCCAACAAGATTCGGCGCCAGCTCATAGAGCGAAGAGCACACAAGACTGGCTGGCGGCGCGTGAAATCGACTTCATCCGGCACGAAGACTGGCCCTCCTCCAGTCCAGATTTGAATCCGTTAGATTACAAGATATGGCAACACTTGGAGGAAAAGGCGTGCTCAAAGCTTCATCCCAATTTGGAGTCACTCAAGACATCCTTGATTAAGGCAGCCGCCGATATTGACATGGACCTCGTTCGTGCTGCGATAGACGACTGGCCGCGCAGATTGAAGGCCTGTATTCAAAATCACGGAGGTCATTTTGAATAAACTTTAGTGTCATAAGAATCTATGTTTTGTTAAGTTCATTTTGGTATATGAATGGTTACATAATGAATAAACTTGTTTCAATTATTTTACATTAAACATGTGACAGAATTTATGACCTGACTAGGTATATAAAAAGCGCACAGTCGCAACATAGAACGAGTTACCGTGAACAATTCCTTAGTTCGAAACTCCCGACACGTCCAGTCATCAGCCGACCGTCGCGTTGCTCGGTCGCGTATGGCTGTGCAGACATAATACTCTGTGAGGGAATTGTTTATTTACGTCGACGGTATTAGAACCGTGACTCACGCGTACACCGAACCTCACGTCTGCATCGCGCGTGCCTTAACATTATCAAACATTAATTTACGATATGAATTTGTGGTGAATTAAAAAAAAATCATTTGAGATGGGAAAGATCTTTCTGTGAGTTTTTTTTATTATTTTTTTTTAGAACTAAGTACGTTTTTTTAATTCAATATTATTTGCCGGAGAAATCATTAAGTGATTCTATTATAATTGTTTTAAGCAAAACAAATATTAACAATAATGAATTAAAATTGAATTCATATTAGTCGTATTATTACGTCAATGCAAATTTAAAGAAAGTTCATTACTTAAGTTTTTTTTTATATAAAATTATTATATTTTTGGTAGGTACTCCGATTTATTCCGCACTAATTTGCACCAAAAAAATATCTATTGAATATGCGCCTTTGCGATAGGTACACAAAATGATTTGACTTGTAAAAATCGTGAGAAACGATTTAAGAGAACACAAAACACGTTACCGTTGCAACAATTGTAATCTTGATCGCTGAGAATGATATAAAAAGTTTCACAAACATGAGACTGATGCTCTTTCAGCTTATTTAAAAGTAAAAAAAAAAAAGACGGACTTAGAAACGATTTATCGCCCACTAAAAAAAAAAAAGTTTTTATTGCTTAGGACGAGCTCACAGCCTCCCTGGTGTTAAGCGGTTACTGGAGCCCATAGACATCGACAACGTAAATGCGCCAACTACCTTGAGATATAAGTTCTAAGGTCTCAGTATAGTTGCAATGGCTGTCCCACCTTTCAAACCGAAACGCATTACTGCTTCACGGCAGAACTAGGCAGGGTGGTGGTACCTACCCGTGCGGACTCACAAGAGATCCTACCACAGTAAAAAAAGCACGCTTTTCGCTTACATACGACAACAAATCGATTAACTTGAAAACATCGATTCATTTTTCAATACGGTTACAAGTCGACTGAAATGTGTTCGTAGCCCCGTTAGGTCATGCAAAATGTTATATTTGGTAGCGTGTGCACGGTTACGATGTACGGCTGCAAACGTAGCCCCGCACTTGCATCTGATATCCTGAAGTCGGAACGCGATATAACAGCGACTCATTGACGAGAGGAGCGGGAAGCGGAAGCGAATTATTTTACTGTTTTTTATTTATTTTACTGTGATGGATTAATTATGAGTTGACTGTGAGAATATGAGTGAGGTCATATCAGGCCTTATTAAATTCACTGAAAATGTCTTATCTATACTAATATATAAATCTACAGTGGTTTTTACGGATGTTCCGTTTTAACTACTGAACCATGCATCCGATTGACTTGAAACTTAGTATCCATGTAGAAAATACATGTACTTAATGGATAGGCTAATATTTATATGAGTGTTGGACTCCCTAATAATAATGACAATAAATAATAAAGTTAATTTTAAATGCCCAGCGAAGCGGGCGAGTACGGCTAGTTATGTACTATAATTATTTAAAGGGCATTAACGCGTCCGATTGTCATCGCGAATGCAATATTGTCAAAACAACAAAATAAATCAGCCTTAAAATTTCAAAGGAAATTGGATAAATATTATTTTATTATGACATCATATATTGACACGTGCTGGTCTTAAAACAGAAATAATATCTTGATTTATTTCTGTGGGTCTTCAGCTATATCGAATGACTGATTATTTTCCAAATACTCTATTAAAAGGTTACATCATACATCGATAATATATTTCCTAAAATATTAATCTTGTTTTGGCTTTGTAAGTCATAACCTGGGAAACATCGCACACTAATTCCCGTTGTGAAGTAATCAATTTTACGTCACCATTTTACTGACTATTGTTCATCTAATATGCTATTGTTATTCCTTACACCTGTCGATATTATAAATTTGAAAGTGTGTTTGTTTGTTTGTTTGTCTGGTGTCTGTGATTGTTCTATATTTTATTGCTTAGATGGGTGGATGAGCTCACAACCCACCTGGTGTTAAGTGGTTACTGGAGCCCATAGACATCTACAACGTAAATGCGCCACCCTCCTTGAGATATGAGTTCTAAGGTTTCAAGTATAGTTACAACGGCCACCAGTAAACCACAAGAGGTCCTTCCACCAGTCCTCTTTCACGTCATTACGAAGCAACGGATTGATATGATTTTTTTTCCAAAGCTATAGTATTATATCAGGCTAGTGATATAGGCAACCTTTTATCCTAAAAAAATTGTCTCATTCCCAGCGGAAAATACTCTGACACTACTCTTCGAACGCCGCCCAAAATCGCGATTAACAGCTATTTATCACGTAATATCTCTTAAAACAATGAAACCAGTAAAATTGGACCCGTTAGGGCGTAGATGTAATAGCCCCTTGAGCTATCAACGAATAGACAGCGGAAAAAAAAGTGCTCCGCGATATCTTCGGCACTAACTGTACATTATGAACGAACGTGTCATATTTTCGAGATAAAGTCGAAAGTCACTCTCCGGAATATACTTGTATCCTCGCAAAAAATAATCTCGAATAACCACTGTTTAGTTGCTGTGTCTGACAAACAGACAACTACACTTTCACAATTACAATATCCGCATCATAGTTAGCTAAAATTAAACCATGCACGATTTAAATTGTATTTTTATAACGTTTAGATTATTCTCCTAATTGAGATGTAAGTAATTATAGCAGTAATTATCAGAGAAAACCGGCTTCCGAAATTAGCCTAAGTTGAGCTATATCCAACATACTCAAAAGTTTTAATATTCATTTATTCGATGGAAGACAGCATAATATGCTATGCATACAAAAGAGTTAATATGAGAAACGTGTTTGAGAGAAGTCTAGTTAACAAAACTTGAACTATATCAGTGGACGCTTAGCGTTTACGTTGCGGATGTCCATGGGCCCAAAACGTGAACTTACGGGCCATATAAACTAAATTTTACCAGGCTCCAAGGAAAAAATCTTCATCGGATGTTTTCATGTATTTAAAAAAAAAACTTGCAACTTGATCACTATATGAAATATGTTTTATGAATTTATTTTTTTCCTTTAATACGACCCGATTTTTAAATGCTTAGGTAGGTAAACAAATACGAGACGCAGATTGGATTCGACCCGCGGGTCTTTGCCTGAACATTTTTATTTGATAGGATTCTGAGCGTAGTAACAAAGCCCATATTAAAAAAAAAAGCCCCGTTTACAAAATTCAAGGGTACGCTGCTGTAGTAGGTATGTGCGTGTGACGTCATTTGGTATCAGCCGGTCACCGTCCTCGTCGAACCCGTCGCTTGCGACGAAGGGCTCGACGAGCGAACTAACCCATAGGACACAGCCCACTGAGTTTCTCGCCGGATCTTCTCAGTGGGTCGCGCTTCCGATCCGGTGGTAGATTCTGCGAAGCACTGCTCTTGCTAAGGTCAGTGTTAGCAACTCTCCGGTTGAGCCCCGCGAGCTCACCTACTAACGTTACGGCGAAGCTGAAATAGCCTCTCAAGGCTATCAGCATAGGTAGAAAAAAAAAAAAAAAAAAAGGTATCAAAGTATACATTGAGCTAATCATAGATTATACAGTAATACCATAAACGATGATTAACCACGTGCGATTTAAAATACAAAACCATATTTCACATTATTTTTTTTAAACTAAATTTCAAATCCCTTAAGCCTTGTTCGGACTAGGCGAGTATTTTAGTCGAGTACCGAGTAATTTAGTAACTAAATGTGTCTGAGCACCAAAAATTTAGTCGAGTAGGTTAGTAAATAATTTAGTCAAGTCAATCCATTTTGTTCTATTTTTTCGGGCGAATAGAGAGTAGTTTAGCCACTAAATTACTCGGTACTCGACTAAAATACTCGCCTAGTTCGAACAAGGCTTTAGAGCTGCTTTTTAGTTTGGTTTCTTGTTCTTATCAGGTTGCCTATGCGATGGTTACACATAGCTGACATTATTATGCATACTACAAAGTTTCAAACCGTTAAGACGTTAATTCAGTTTCTTGGCTCGACCTAGAAATTAAATGGTTCAAACGTTCTGTTAATCTCGCGATTGCAGCTAGTCCCTCCTCGAAGCACGCTTGTAAATTAAAATGGAGATTATTTTGTACTGAATTACGTGCTCATTATCAAAGATTAGGTACACATAGGTAGTTTTCCAATTATAGAGCATAATGCGACTCAGTAACGCACAATGCCGAATTATGCTGAAGCTTAATTGGAACGTGAATTAGTTTTCAAATGCATCAGCAGAGTGCGCTAAGTTAGCACAGTTTTAATTAACATTGATTATTTCTAAGAAACTACGACGAAACGAAAGCCTTACAATTTTTTTCAACATTAAATAATATTACTAACGATAATATAAATAAAATTTCGATCAATGCCAACTTAAAGAAAAAACACGTCAATTTTCTGTCACTGAGTCGGTATCGATTGCACGCATCACGCGAGAGCAGTACTTTTGAGAGTGCTCGATTGTGCAAAGCGTTGCTGTAGTTGGAACATTCAATGTTGAGCATTATGCCGCATAATGCGCTCTTGTGCTGTAATTGGAAAACTACCATATGCTCCGGCAGCTATCGTAGAACACAAGATATTTGTTGGTTACATATATTATGACAGTCAATCTACCGAGCAATTTCTCCGGCTCAATGGAAGATCTTCCCTTTGTCGATATCTCCAAACATATGAGCCTATGCTTATCTGGTGGAAATGCTTGCTTAAAATAAGCTCTTCTAAAAACTCGTTAGAAGAATGTGTCATCATAGCGCATCGAAAAAGACAAGGCGTTTTTACTATAGCCAAAAAAGTACCTATGTGATAAAAAAATAAAACGCAACTGATCTTATTGTCTCGGAGCTAAATTTTTGTTTGTACCGCAACTGAATTGAATCGGTGTTATAAAAACTAGCATTTAACTATTGTTAAAACGGATGACGTCATTTCTTGCATTATCTGCATTTGTATTAATATTTGCTGTAATAATATTTCTAACGTGTTCTTTACTATTAATTTCTTTAGCATTTATTACTGACGATCTAATGTAAACAATCAAGAAATACACAATATTTATCATCATTTCATCTTTTTCGCCACCTTATCCCACTAGGTGGGGTCGGCACAGCTAATTTTTCTCTTCCATTCTC